CCGAGGCAGCCGTACGACCGCTTGTTCCTACTCGCGTGACGTTGTTGTGTTCGCTCAGTCGCGTTATTTCGAATTTGCATTCGCGTTATAAAAGATGTGTTCCCTAATACGATCATCGCGTTATATCCAATTCGCGTCATGAAAACAACACGCGGCGTTATAGGAGAACAGACTTACCTGGTGCAGTGTGTAAACATCAGCGCTGGGGAGACAAAGGCGGCCGGGCATGGTCTTGGCCACCCACACCTTCGTGTGCCATGTGAAACCTTCATCGGTGCTCGCTATAACAGCCCTTGTCCCAACAACCTGTCCAGGCTATACGGGGGTTCTTTGTCCTCTGCCTTAAGTGGGGACTTGTCAAGTGCCAAGTGTTACATCTGCACAAAACTCAACCCTAAGTAAATCATTATACATGAGAGGTTTTTTGGGTTAGATCGCGCAAATATATAAATGTGTCGTTAAAACTCACCACCACACGACACAGCCTACGTGTTAAACTAAATAATTATAGTTAACAAAAATAAAACTATCTTTTAAACGTATAACGTGCATATTGTGTATGGTACGTTTCCAAATAAGTTCCTGAATATTTTCAATATTAAATCCAGGAAAGCTTCCACTTTACTCACAACGTTGAGTTATGATTGCAATATATTTTCGATTCCTCATGTGATAGTGTTTTTGTTCAGTCCACTTGGGTTTGCTGCTCTTTAATTTATTTGCTTTGCTTTTTGTCATTTCTGTGGCCCAGGTCACTCTCGCAAAATGAAACTCATCCTGGTCTCTTGAATTCTCACCGGATTCAACAAAACAAACTTGAACTTTGAACTTACAGTAGGTCACCACTGCCGAGTGCTGAACTGTTCATTTGAACTCCTGTGTGACAGCCGTAATTAGCTGACATTGGGTGAAATGGCTATAGCCTTATTGATAGCATATCAGCTCATCACAGAGTTGCCACACAATCCCATACCCAATTATCAGGCTTTGCAACTCAATTCGTTAATTTTTTTAACTGAAATATTATTCTTCTTTGGTTCTTTCGGTAAAGTCACGTAGAATGAGAATAAAATAATAAATTGATAAAATAAAATAACACAATAATATTCTCACGACGTTTCGGCCATTATTATTGTGTTATTTTATTTTATCAATTTATTATTTTATTCTCATTCTACGTGACTTTACCGAAAGAACCAAAGAAGATGAATCATTGCAGTCACGAAAGCTTTAAATTGAAATATTATTATTGAATGGTAAAATAGAAAGTGATGGTGAAAATAACCACGCTGCAGTGTAGGTTTCACATTACGAGCTACAGATAGACAGATAAATAGGCGGATGGACCGAGGAGATTTTCAGATTATACGCGGGATTATTATATCATATGCATTCATGAAATTATGAAAACATCGGTCACTCCGGTAATGACAAATTGTTGTAGAAAGATCGAAGGCTCGTGCAAAGCGAGGCACATGGTGTGGTGTACAAATGTCACTGGCCAGTCTGCTGAATACATCAGCTCCCCACTGTCCGACTTCTCAAAATGTCAACGTGCAAAATGACGGTAGGCTTATGCAAATGAGGTACGGCATTGCGAGTTGATCTACGACCTATCGCTTTAGAGTACGTCGAGTGCCGTCTTGAGCGAGACGTCGAGTCTGATTTGACGGATTTGAAAAATAAGAATAGGTGTTACCCATCCTGGCAACAAAGCAGGTGTTAAGATGTTCAAACGCCAAATAAGATACCTTTTGCAAAGGAATCAAGTCACTCGAAGTGCTCAGTTTTGTTGTGCTAATGGCGATGATTAAACAACGGTGGTTTTTAGAGCTCCACCTCAGGACGTGTTCAATCTCTCGTTTTTCCCTCTCTCAATCGGCTTCTGTTTGTCTCTTTTTTTTGTTCCTCCCATTGGCCCGTTATACTGCAGTGGTTTTGGGGCGTATAATCCCTCCACCGGGTAGACATTCTTCATGTTAGTTTTTATTTATTCTCTTTTTGAATAGGCCTTCATGTTGATGTTCACCAATGCATGTGTTTTGAAACGGTTCATATTCAGGGCTCTGCCCTTGACGCCGAGAGTCCGTCGCTGCCGTCTTATCCATCCTTACGTTTCCTGTCTTCATCTTCATGTCCACAAGACCGTTCCTTAAACACGACAAACTTTTAATCGCTTTAAGGGGTTTAGATTAGGTTTTTTTGTTCCAAGAAACATATTCTGAATCAAAAAATAATGTACATTATATCCTTGGTTGTTTAGGTAAAGTCACGTAGAAGGGAAACAATGAAATAATTAAAATATTAAACAATAAAATGTACATTACCTGAAATCTTTCTGGGTTGTCTTCTGTTCTCGGTAAGAGCGAAATTGCGCTGGTCTCATTTTGTTTGCAATAAATATACCAAGCAACATTCCAGAAAAAATGTCTTAACATAGTTTCTAAGCCCATGGGTTGCCAGATTGGTTAATTGTATTCACAATTTATATTTATTTATTTTACGAACACAGATTTTTCCACACATTATTAAAATTGTGCTTTCACGGCGATGCGCTCAACGGGAGCGGGGTGGGTTACCCTGGCTCCGTGAAATGCACCCACGCTGACATCTCTCAGAATGCCGCCAGAGTCCGTAAATCCAAAATGCAGTTGGCTCTGCTATTAGATCGGATTAAAGGAAGTGTAATTCCGCAAATGCCAAAGGACCTTTGACGAAGGCTTGTCATGCCTGCATTGAGGGTATTGTAAGAGAAAGGTTAAGCCAAGGCAATACGTGGTGACGGAACGCAACAATACGGCTGCTTCGCTGAACTGCCAAGACCCGTTCTTTTTAGAATTAGCGGCTTCGGAGGATATTTATAGAAATATTTTTCACATTTTTGCAGTAATCCTTTGCGTCGGTAACCAACCACGTACATACATCAAGACTGCAAGAATGTAAAAACTCCATCTGCACTGCAATGTACAAGATATGAATACTATGCCCGAGCACGTTGATGGACCGAGTTAATTCTACCTTGAAGGGAACCATGTAGTCACATTACAACGTTTTGTTAAGGCCATCGTGAGTTGTGAATAACTTGCATAATAACTTGCATAAAACATCGCGAACAAAGATAACAATCCCCTGTATAGTCTTAACAGACTGTTGGGGCAAGTGCTGTTAGCGAGCACCTACGGAGGCCGGCATGGCACACGAGAAGGTGGGTGGCCAACACCACGCCCGGCCACCTTTGACTTCGCAGTTCTGATGTTTACACACCGCGCCAGGTGCCAATTTAAGGCTAAGTTAACTTAGAAGAAGGCTCAGTTTAAAAATTCGCAGCACGCTAACCGCTACACTAATGCTCGCCACCAAACCAAACACAAACGTGATAACATTAATGGAGTGTGAGAATATGTTTTAATCAATGGATTCGTTACACTGGCAACTCTTTGATCGCCACTCACAGTGCGTCACGTTGGGTGAAAATATTGAGTCGAACACGAAACACAGGTGGGCGAATTCAATTACGAGAGTATTTTGAGTGAATTGAAAGGGAAGCCATTGGTGTGGCAGACGGCTTTTACAGACAGTGCGGTAACAGCTCCTAATATTTTCAGGAACAAAACATGTCAAGGAGTTTGTCAAATTTTTGGGATTTTTTTTTAGCTAGCGGTGCTTTACTTCTAAACTCTGATTCTTTCTTTTTAATGTTATAGGAGTTATTTCGGCAAAGTCACGTAGAAGGGAAACAATAAAATAATAAAAATATAAAACAATATTTAAAAATATAAAACAATATTGTTTTATATTTTATTATTTTATTCTTTCCCTTCTACGTGACTTTACCGAATAAACCAAGAATATGAATCCCTGCAGTCACGAAAGCTTTAAATCAAAAGTTATAGGAGTTGTAAAAAAAAAACCACAGTCCTTGGACTCTAGATTCCGAACCACTTGCAAACACACGACGACCGTTGCTCCTCGGGGAAAACAAGAACGGTAAACTCGGGCACCGCCCTCATGTTACTTTATTGTGGGTTTTGTTTGGTGGCATTATTCCACCTCCCGCTCCCCCCTCTCTTCCCTCTCCTTCCACTTCCTTCGTTCACCTTCTGCCGTCGATCGTCACCCCCTAGCACTGCGGTTGGGCGGCGAGCCCCAGGTGCCTCCAAGCGGTCCCTCATTTGAGGGAGTAACGCTCCGGGTCCCTTACATGCTCATGGCCTGCGTTCCCCTATTTGATGTCTGTTTTGGGTTCTTTAAAATAATAGAATGGAAAAAATGCTGTGTCTCTGTATATCCGAGTGTCTCTCCGGGTGTACCTCATTGTCTCTCCGTATCTCGGAGACACCCAGAGAGACGCCCTCACTGTGTACGGTGACTCGAAAATCACCGTGTTGTATTTTATTCATACGGTGCGGGTTACAAGTAGCGACACACGCACACACACCAATCCCACACGTTGGAAGAGCAATGTGTGCATCATGCAGACTTTCATGTTGTGCTGTGATACTCTCCACCAAAAGGGGTTATGTCTCCAAACTCGGTGCTACTTATATACCAGTGCAGGAGTATATAATGATGCTGAGCCAAAACATGTCTGGTATATAGTTCTGTACTTCTCATATTCACAGCCAAATATTTTGTTCGGATCCTTCATAGTAGACTTGAACTCTTCCTTAAAAAGGAATTACTTTCACTGGGATAATGTCCAAAGGAGCTTGGACATTCTTATCTTTGAGTCCTGTGGCCATGAATACAATGGGGACTATTCATGTCTTCTTTTTTTCTCATTTTGTTTCAGATTTTATTGTTATTTCCTTTTGACGTGAAAATGGCTCAGTAGAAAAGGAATTGGTCAAACATCTGAATGCGGGATGGTCACAGTAGGGCCAGCAGGATGGTCACCGTTCAGAATGTCTGTCTTGACGCGGCAATGCGCGTGCGATGTTTTAGCTGGCAGCGCGGCGGTTGTCAATACTAACCGTAGATCGCTTTCTCGGCTTGCGCAGATGACGGTTGAGATCCCGGAGAACTCGCCGGTGGGGACGCCGGTGGTGCGTGTGCAGGCCAGCGACCCCGACGAGGGCGAGAACGGAAAGGTCCAGTACCGCCTCGCATCCTGGTCGTCCTCCTCGTCATCGTCCCAGCCAATACCTCCGATGTCGTCATCGCTGCTGTCTCTCGCATCATCGTCCTCGTTGACGCCTTCGTCCTCCTCCTCCTCGTCGCCGCCGTCGTCGGCCAAGCCTCGTCGACGGCCAGACACGGCTCTGTTCTGGCTGGATTCGTCATCGGGCCTCGTCGTCGTGTGGGGCCTGCTGGACCGCGAGGAGGCGGACGTCCACCGCTTGGTCATCGTGGCGACGGACTGTGCGCCTTCGCGACCGGCGAGCGCCACGGCCACGCTCACCATCGTCGTGGGTGACGAGAATGACACGCCGCCCGAGATCGAGCTGCGCATCATCGCCCGTACCGAGGGGGACGCCGTGACGGCCGATGACACGGACGACGACGACGACGGCGGCGACGGCGAGGTGAGAGGAACGGCTTCGGCGGCGACGGTCGTCGTCTCGGAAGCGTCCCCTCCGGGCTTCCCCATCGCGCTCATCTCGGTGTCGGACCGCGACTCGGGCAGCGGCGGCGTTGTCTCGCTGTCCATCTCCCTCGACGGTGACGAGGAGAGCGCCGGCAAGGACGAGGAGGATGAGGCCGGCGCTGCCGCCGACCTGCCGTTCCGCGTCCGGCGCCTTCCACCATCGCCCGACCGCTACCTGCTAGAGACGGGCGTGGGGCTGGACAGGGAACGGCGCGAGAGGCACGTCGTGCGCGTCGTGGCCAAGGACTCGGGCGTGCCACGCCTTTCCAGCACGGCCGTCGTGTTCGTGCGTGTCGCGGACGCCAACGACAACCCGCCCACGTTCCCACGCCGCGTCTACGAGGCCGCCGTCGCGGAGAACGGCCCGCCGGGCCTGCGCGTCGCCTCGGTGATGGCGACGGACGCCGACGTGGGCAAGAACGGCGCCGTCGTCTATTCCATCGAAAGGGTGACCGCCCTGAGGATAAGCGCCGGAGGGGCCGACGCGGCCGGAGGCGGCGACGCGGCCGCCTCCTGGGCCGCCGACGTCGCCGGCACCGCGCGGCCCCCCGCCGTTGTACGGCCCTCGTCGTCGGCCTTCCGCATCGAGCTCACGACGGGCCTGGTGACCGCCTCGCAGAGCCTTGACCGGGAGGACGCCCCCGGCGGCTACGCTCTCGCCGTGGTGGCGAGCGACCGGGGCATCCCGCCGCTCTCGGCGACGGCCACCGTGATCGTGCGCATCCTCGACCGCAACGACAACGCGCCGCAGTTCGAGCTGCCCGATTTCCACTTCTACGTCCGCGAGAATCAACCGGCCGGCAACATCATCGGCCGCGTGTCGGCGTGGGACCCCGACGAGGGTGACAACGGGAAGCTGGAGTACGCGATAACCGTCGTGAACGGGGAGGAGTTCGACAAGAACGACGCCAAGCATCGCGCGGAGGTCTGGGACCAGGACCCGAACCGGCACGCGGCCGACGACGGGGAATCGACGTCGTTGTCTTCGCTGTCCTCCTCGTCGTCGCAGCAGCCTTTGTTTAGCATCGATCCCGACACGGGGGTGATCCGGGCCGGGTTCTCCTTCGACCGCGAGAAGCAGCACTTCTACACGCTGGAGGTGCGCGCGCGCGACCTCGACCAGACCCCCACGTCGCGCCTCAGCTCCTCGGCCCGCGTCTTCATCCACGTGGTGGACGAGGACGACAACGCCCCCGAGTTCCTCGCGCCCAAGACCAACTCGACGTTCGTGTTCGTCGAGACGACAGGGGGCGCCGTGCCGGGCACCACCGTCTACCCTGTGTCGGCCATCGACCCGGACTCCCTGCCGCCCGTGCCTCGGCGCGACGACGTGGCGGCCGCGGTCGTGGCCGCGGCGGACGAGACCAAGTCGGCGGCGTCGTCCTCGGCGACGTCCACCGCCAAATCCCCGATGGCGCCGATGCAGTACTCCATCGATGGCGGGAACCCGCGGGGCCTCTTTGCCATCGACGCGCGCACGGGCCTTGTGACAGTGCGGGAGGCGCTGACGGACGAGCACGCGGGCCTGCACCGCCTGGTGCTGTGCGCCCGCGACACGCGGCACCGGGCCATCGCGCTGTTGCACGTGTTCGCCAACGCGACGCTGGACGACGTGACGGCCGTCAACCGCCTCATCACGCGCAGCCTCGCCACGCCGCTCTCCAAGAACGTGTCCGGCCTCGGCGGGCCGTCGGGCTTCGACGAAGACGGCGACGACGACGGCAAGCAGAGCAGGCTGCTTCTCGTGGCCGCCGCCCTCGCCCTGGCGGCCGTGCTGGCCGTGGTGGCCCTGCTGGCGCTGCTGGTCGCCCTCGCGCACCACTGGTGCCGCTGCTGCTACATCTGCCGCTGCTGCTGCCGCTACAAGAAGGAGCACCGCGGCAAGCGCAAGTTTTTCGGCGGCGGCGGCGGCGTCGGGGGCGGCGGCGGGCTGGCGCAGGCGGCCGTGGATTGGCCCATCTCCAATGACGACAAGAGCGCCGGCCACGCGGGCAGGCGGGACAAGGGCGAACGCGGGATCACGGTAGCCTGCACCATCCTGGGCCACGAGGGGGCGAGGGACAAGCAAGCGTCGCTCGCAGGTGAGACGGTAGCGGTGGAGCCGCGCGGTTTGTTGCAAATAAGCGCTGCGGAACAAAAGTGATTGCCCCAAAAATGCTCGCGTTGTTAAAAGCAAGACACGCTATACAGTCGTTAGTTCTGTAATTTTAAATGTAACCTTTGGCATAATCCTCGCTCTTAACTATAGCCTTAATGTTAACCAAATTTGACACTGAACAGAAACTTTGCTTTACCCACAGCTCTTCCATTCACCCGTAACTACTGCACGCTGCACGCAGCAGCCCCAAGGTTGTGGCCTAGTCTAGGCTTTACATCGCTCCCCATAAAAGTGACGTTTGTAAGAAAATGTGATCATGGTGGCTGCGATCACAAATATGGAGCGATGTGTGCGTTACATGATAGCACGGTGATTAAAGCCCACGTTTGCAATAAAAATAGGATGCCAATCGATTTCAGTTTTGACATTAAACAAATAGGGCACGGTTTGCATATACGTTAACGCTTGAGGAATATATTATAATAGCTTGTTTAGATCTATTAATGCTTTGATGTTCGCATTGTCTTTGTGCTATTTGCCTTTTGGCGTTCTCTGGTCTAACACTGATGAGGCAAGGTCTCTGGTGTAGGCCAATCAGTATCAAAGAATGTTGTTTCCATGTTTTACCATGGAAACAACAGCATGTGTGGTGAATGTAAATTTGATGCCTTGTGATAGGTGTCTACTTGGTATTTGAACATCTTAAGGATAAAGCCTATTCCTTTTTCGTTTCCATCAGCTTAAGAATATGCCACACTATTGCTCTAAGGAGTAAGGTTCTATAGGACTTAAGTGTCCATAAATGTTGCATTGAAGTACATTATTTAAACATTGTAAATGAGCACCAGCATTTCCTTTGCAATGGCCTTGCTCTTATTTTTCACACGCACAACAAAAACTGTGGCTATGCAATAATTGATTTGCCTAAGTGCCTTCAGCAGCAGTCCATGTGATCCACAGAAGCACAGAATACATTGTTCAAGATACATGATGTACATTAGCTTTTACGACCATGAAGCCCTTCTGTCATACCCAGGTGAATTGTTCTTGCAAGCAGCCAGCGGTTTTGTTTTGCTGTACCAATGGTGAATAGAAACTATTGGGTAAAATGTTAAACAGTCCAACACTGAGACGTTATTATCATATAACTTCTCATTCAATTCCCTTCACGGAGACACAGAAAAAGTTCAGTTATACAATACGTCAACGTTTAAAATTATTATTGCATCCATAAACCCGCCACCACCCGATACAGCTGATTCGTCAGGTGTCTTTGGGTGCTGGCGGGTTATAACGACACATTTATATTTACACGATCAATGTATAACATTTGTCGCGAAAACCTAAGTGTTAAACATTAGTATTGCATCTCACGAGAATTGCTGAGTGCACATGTTAATGCTACCACATTTCTTGGAGGCTCAACTGGGATACGTGGGGACACGTGGGGAGAGCTAGCAGCCCCTCCTCCTACTGCAGTCCCGCCCACATGTGCATAACCACGCCCACTCACTAACTAGCCCGGCCCACACAGTGAGTGGCCTCCCTCTCTGCTCATGGCCCTGCCCTACTGCTGAAGGCTCTGCCCTGCTGCTCATGGCCCTGCCGCTCTTGGCCCTGCCCTGCTGCTCATGGCCCTGCCCTGCTGTTCAAGGCCCAACCGACTCACTTTACAGCCCCTCCACCCCCGCCATTTGCTCGATCATGAACTCAGACACTGTATATTACAACTGGAACAAAATCCAAATGTTCACAAAATCTTTGGGACACCAGCCTCTCTGAAACTGGGGACTGTTCTGGCCAAACGGGAACTTTTGGTAGCACGAGTAAAGGTATAGTACAGTACTGTCCTCATGGATCCTAGTGAATTAGAAAGAAGCTAAAAAAAAACGTCAAGATGGCTCTCTATAGATAATATAACGTCTGCTTTTAATAGTGTACTTTTAATTGTTAAGCTTGTATCATAACCTCCAAAGTAAACCTTTACACTTTCCCTAAAATGTAATTGAAGAAGACGATTCCATTATCTCCAAAAACATACGGGACCGAAAGACTGCGGGTTAAACAACGTGGGGCCTATACGTACAGCGCTTCATCATAATAATACGGGCATAATAATTGTTTACTATAAATGGTTAATTCACTAATGTATTAAATCAAATGTTGGTATGGAAATTAAGTCAGCCTGAGTCTCTGGACAGTATTTTATTTTAAATATCTTACGTTTAAGATCGGTATCTACAAACAGTGTACTTTACATGTTGATTTTTTCAGCCAGCATTTTAATGCTATCCTGCTACGGGCTAATGTGTGCGATGTTAATCATTGGCACAGATAAATTAGAATAAAATCCAAACACATTAATTGCGAATCAATTAACTTGTAATGTTTAATATCTAGTTTAATAAACCTGGTCGCAAGGTCCCGTGATGGTCCCATTTGCTAGAACCGAACGGCTCCTGCGGACGCCGAGAGCTTTGCAACGGCATTGTGACGTCACGACGTATCCGCTCGGCCAATGAGGGCGCGCGGTGCGTCGGCCAACCGAGAGTTTGCAGGATGCTACCGGCGCCCGCGATTGGCTGGTATACAGAGGGTCGTGGATTCGACGCCTGTATATTTGGAGTTTGTGTGGATTTTTCTCCAGGTCCTTCGGTTTTTCCCTCCACATTTAGAATCACAGTGCTTTTAGAGTATTTGGCTGCTATAAATTTCCACGTGATAAGCCACTTCATTGAGCGATCATTTGTGGCCACGTCGCTTCTAAACAAAGAGCTGTGTAGCTCAGTGGGCCTCACCGGGTAAAATAAAAACAATATAAAAGCACCCTGGACCGCTATGGAGTGTTCTGACCAATAAACGCACCGGTATTTAAGAAGCTGGGTCAGGTGACACGGTTATTCTGACTTCCTCGAACTTACCCTGAAGATTATTTATGCCGTTTCAACGGAAACATCGCATTTCTAATTGCTAAATTTGTTTGCCAGAATTTTTCTCTTCTAGTATATGGCAAGTACGTGTAAATTATACAACCAGGTTTCAGTTTGTGAGCCATGTGATGATGGTAGCTTAAGGGACAGCACGAATATAATGCTGTTCCGTCCGCCAGAGAGCAGGCGTAGAATGCAGGTGATATACTGCAGTGTGGGTTGTTGAAATATGACGATACTAGAATCTAAGAATGTATAATGAGATATAGGGTCTAGGTTAATAAAATTGTGTTCAGCAATATTATTGCAGATCTTGTTATTTCTTCTGAAATAGTTCATGTTATTTTATTAAAAGAAACAATTATTAATGTTCAAACATGAAAAATGGAGCTTAATTATTTACATTCTATACAAATACTATGCGCATGTTATGCAAATTAAACATTTAGACTAATTGAGTGAGCAAGACCCGAGGAGTAATACGTCCTTTGGAGGCGGCCCTTCACCCGTCCCTAGCTTCTTCCGGATGTCACGTCCTGCCAACCAGCCAGACAGCCAGAAAAATATGAAAGTTTTTGCCCGTGGCTCGACCTTGGAAAGGGGGTGTAGAGTCAGTTGCTCAATGCGGCAGACAGGGCAAGATGAGCGGGAAAGGGCCGGGACGGAAGTCCCCAAGACGGACAGAGAGGGCGTGGTTCAAGACGAGCAGCGGGAAGACGGAAGGAGCCGCCGGTGCAGGAAGGGGAGAAGGAGGTGTTGGGGTGGGAAGGAGGAGAAGGAGGAGAGGTTGGGGATGAGAGGTGATGATGATGATGATCGGGGGGGGGGGGGGGGGGGGAGAGCGAAGGAAGGAGCGGGCAGGAGTGAGCTGCGAGGAGGATGGGCGTCTGTTTTCACAGTGGGTGGGGAGTGGGGGGAGATTCAGAGTGGTGGCCCTGAGCTGATTTACTTAGATTCGGTGTGAAGGGTGCAGATGCATTGGCACATTGTAAGCGACAGGGTCCGTTACGGGAATGTCCAAGACAACTAATTTAGAAATGAGAACTCGACTTTGTTGGTCAAACTTCCGCATCCAGCCTCTCCACCCCGAAGACATTTTCCTACATTGTAACAATCCCCGCGCGAGCAATTTGCGTTATGCAAACTGCTCACACTTTCTGAGAGGCATTGCACTGCAGGTGTCGTCATTGCACTGCAGGTGTCGTCATTCCACTGCAGGTGTCGTCATTCCACTGCAGGTGTCGTCATTCCACTGCAGGTGTCGTCATTCCACTGCAGGTGTCGTCATTCCACTGCAGGTGTCGTCATTCCACTGCAGGTGTCGTCATTCCACTGCAGGTGTCGTCATTGCACTGCAGGTGTCATTCCACTGCAGGTGTCGTCATTCCACTGCAGGTGTTGCGCGAAGCATTCCTCAAAGTGAACACCACAGTGACCTCCTTTCAGCTTTCTTCATCTGCTCGACGTTCATTCCATGTGATTGTTTTTTTTCCCCACGGCGATACTTGTGATTATTTATTTTACCAGTTTGTTTGTGTGCCTTGGAGAAGAGGGCAGATTGTAGGAAGGGGTGGAACAGGCCCAGTGGCTCACGCATAGTCCCATGATCCCAGTTAACATTTGAACTCCTGCTATCCTCTTATCCTCCTATCCTCCTATCTCGAAGCACATTTAGTCAAGGTGGATAAAACTCTGGGTGTGCCTGATTTACGGGGCTGAGCTTTGGAGTATGAAGAAATATCAACAACAAAACTAAAAGCTAAAACTAGTTTTATTTTACCAAATAAGACCCACTGAGCTATAAAGCTCTTTTGCAGAAGCGACCTGGCCACAAATTATCACTCAACGAAGTGGCTTATCATGTGGATATTTATAGCAGCCAAATACTCTAAACGTACGTTTCTAAATGTGGAGGGAAAAATCGGAGGACCCGGAGAAAAACCCACGTGACAACGGGGAGAGAGACACGCAAACTCCTAATATACAGCAGCAGCCGCCAGGGTCGGGATCGAACCCACGCCCTCCTGTATACCAAGCGAGGTAGTTAACATCTCGCCACCATGACGCCCATAACACGAGGGCAAATCATTTTTACTTAGCTTGGGCCTGCCCTAGGTCAACCTCAGCCTTTAATGAGTATCCGCTGTGTGTAATCAGCACTCGGGGAGACAAAAGTGATTTGACATGGACACGGGTGCGCGCGAGGAGCTTGTTGGCGTGTGAATTGTGCGTGTTTGTGCGTTGTTTGTGAGTGTTTGTGCGTTGTTTGTGAGTGTTTGTGCGTTGTTTGTGGGGTGAGGAGGGGGCGAGTGATGGTGAGAGAATTGCTCGCGATGTTCGGCAATGCGTCTGTGAACGGGCACAGACGCACGGGGCAATGTGCGATGCATTAGTCCTTGGCGGCTCCTGTAATGGATAAATGTTGTGAGGTTCAATCTGAGGGATTTTGGTTTGGATTTTCTTTCCGTTGCGTTGCTTCGTGAAAAGTTCCGTCGCTGATTTTGGGCTTTCGAAAGACCACGCTCGCGAGCCAAGCTGGCTGACGATGTATTATTGAGACGTAAAATCATATTTTTTTCAACATCATAGCAGCAGGAGTCTCAGATTACATTAATTCCATGAGACTCTTTACGTTTACTTTTGCACGCACGGTTTCCCCGTGACAATGCCCTTACCAGCAACGACGGCTCCTTCATTTGATGAATGTTGTGCTTATTGCTTAAGAATCATTAAAACTTCTCATTTTAAAGCAGTTAATCAAAACTAATTTTTTTTTAATTCAAGTTCACCGCTGACAGACGACCTCTACCTCATGTTTCACAGCTGTGAGCAGCAAGAGATCCGTCTCTGTTCTTGATCGCAACGTAAAGTGCATGAGCAGTGGGAAGCCGTCACTTCCTGTACAGCAGAAAGATGTCGGGGCATTTATTAGTTTTTTTTATTTCGTTAGAATTTCATCGACTTAATTATTTCGTAGCATACGACACAGAGGATAATAATCTACTGGGGCAGTGTTCACAGCTCCTTACGTTTTCCAACAGCCTCCTTGCCTCAGCGAGCTTGGACCGAATGATTTACAGGGTTTAAATACGTTGACGATGATACATTAACTAAGAGACAAATATTCCCAAAACAAAACGCTACCATCTGCCAAATTAAGAAATTATGACATTCACCAAAATGTTTGTGGCAGGTTGGGAGCCGTTTGCGCAGAAATGGGGTGGTGGAGACCCACTGGCAGGAGGTGACAGGACAGACCCGTTTGCGTGTATATATATACTTGTGTTGAACTTCTTTGGCACCATACGTAGCCAACCATGCAGGGGAAGTACAACAAACTGAACACAAAAATCAGTTCCATAGGGAATTCGTTTTCAAAGTGCACTACTCCAGTGGCGTTTTAATATTGGCACGAAGAGCGTTCCAGGCGGCCGCAGAAGGGCATTTGAAAGCCTGCGATGCGGTGACCGGAGTTCATGCGATGGTTTATGCTCCTTCAGGGTATCAGCAACCAATTGTGGTTCATTTGTAGCAAACATAATGTTGTGTGTAATGAGTGTAAACCAGCAGCGGCGTGTGTGTCGCTTGTTGTAGAGGCCCGCGGTTCAAATCAAGTAGGCTGCGACGGTTATTACTGCGGGTTTACAAACCATGAAATAGTGCCCTATGCCTAAAAGTGGACATTAATGGTCGACTGACGTTATTCTTAAAGAGTGGGCCATTGTATGCTTTCGACATAACCCACATTTGTCAAATGTTGAACAATTGCCTGCAAAATAGTCAATTGAAATAGCACACGCACAGCAACATCACCAGGTGCTGTGAAACACCTGCAGACGAGGCCTTGAAGCACAGCAGCGCCTGCCTTCGCGATAGCCTTGCGCTACAAAGATCGGCGTGAATGCAAATTGTTCACCGAATTCACATGATGAGATAACACACACACACGTACCACCGCACACGCGTGTGCACACGCTGAACAGTATCAACACTGCGTGAGTGCTGAATATTAATGCAGCAAGTGTCATACTTTGTTTCAGTGTTTGCGCTTGTCACGGTGGGTTTTGCACTCGCACAGACTCTCCAGATTTCCCTGGAAATCCCTAAGTTCAATAAAAACAGTGTTACTTGTTTTGTCAAATCGTCGTAATGAAATAGCTGTGCACCAGTGCAAGCCTTCCTGAATGAACATATAGAACAGCAACATATCCCGTGCGTGCATTAAGCATTACAATACTGATTTAGTCTGATGGGCCTGTGGTTAAAGAATCCCGCTCATAATGGAGATATTGCAAGTTGAAATGTCACCCCGGGTTGCCTATTATTTTGGGTAGCTACATCTCTGCCTTCATGCTACGAATGCAAATGAGCGTCATCCTTGGGAAAAACAAAACACACGTTCTTGATGACGAAGACACTTTTATTACGACATTAACAGCATCTACAAAGTGTACACACGGCCAGGGCTGCCAGCCGGCACGGTCCGGGGATTGGCGCCTGTGGTTCGGTTGGCAGCGGGAAATGATTCGTACCGAGCCCCGGTGTCGCTCCGCTAAAACTTTCATCGTCGTGAACTGCACGGCTTTGACAACAGACCGAGGCCGAATGAGAAATAAGTGCGGGGGGTAGGGAAAGTGGCGAGGGACCGCCCATGGCGAGGTGGGAGAGCGCTGCGTTGTGGGTTGGGCCGCATCTCGAGCCGCGTGCGCTCTCTCTCACTCACGAGTTGATGTTGTTGTTGTGGCCGCGTGTTGTTGTGGCCGCGTGTTGTTGTTGTGGCCGCGTGTTGTTGTTGTGGCCGCGTGTTGTTGTTGTGGCCGCGTGCGCTAGCGAGACCGCCCTACGGCGGGCGGGGCCTTCAGGAGTCCCAAGTCCTGGAGGTGCCCCCCCCCCCCCCCCGCTGAAATCCTGGGACGAGAGATGCTCAAACACGCGGCCCGACCCTCATGGGCCACGCCTGGATTACAAGCGAGTGCCAAATCTCCCATTGCTGAATTATACCCGCGGTGGCG